TTCAAAAAATTGAGGGAATGTCCCTATAATTAGACAAATCTACAAGGGTGTCAGTGTAATTTATCCAAAAAAATAATTTCAACAAATTAAAGTACATCTTTTAAAAGTTAATTATAACTGACTGATTTTTATTGTAGTCAACTATGACGTTTTATAATCAACTTTAAACCTCAACGGTAGTGTTTTTAAATCAGGTATCGGGAATTTTTTTTTTCAATATTATAACTCCTTTCCTTTGATCCTTTCTGGTGTTAATATCACATGTGTCAGCAACTAATTAATAATTAGTAATTTATTTTTGAGATAAATAAAAATTATTGACATGAAAACATACATTTAATGACTAAATTAAAAGAGTAATTTATAAATAATAAGGTGGTTTCACATATTTTTTTAGATAAGTGTAACTTATTGAATGCAAAATATGTGAAACCACCTTATTTAGCCGCATCAACCTAACACAAAGAAATATGGGCGGTGTCAATGCCTAACTATAGACAAGGATTGTTTTCAAACAGAAGGAATTAGCTTAAAAAAATTTCGCCTATTCTCGGTCCACTCCTATTAACGGGTATAATTTTTATTTTTATCCTCGTCCGCGGATAAATTTGTAAGTCCCGCCCCCTTCCTCCGTACCCATTCCAGCCCAAGCCCAAGTCAACAATAATTCTAAATTCTAAATAAATCTAACATTCAATTAACCAATGTTTGAATCCTAGTGGAGTGCTTGATTTTCAATTCAAATAATTAGAATAACATTTCATCCAAATTTCAAGAACATTTGGGTCAATAAGAACAATATGTGTTCTTGTAGGGAATATATAACCAAACACTGAATTTTTTTATTTTTTTTAGAGCAATGCTACATGGACTTGGAAAGTAAACTTAAAAATTAGATTTGATAATCTCAACCATTGATTTCACTGTGGGTCTCAGCATTCATTGAGACCCACTACCTATTCAATAGTTGAGATTATCAAGTGTAGTTTTTAAGTACACGTTGCATTACTCTTTTTTTTTTATGTTTTTTTCTAGTCTATTCTAGGTATGGAAGGTACTTGCAAATATTAAATGCGAGTAATAAAGGCTATAAATAATTATACTAGGCAACCATAATCTTCTACCAACTCATTTAATATGGGAAGTTAACTAGGACAAAAACTAATTAATTAATCAAAAACTATAATAATAATAATAACAATTGGTAAAACAGAGCAGGGTGGAGGTAAGTGTCAGTTCATCCCCGCCTTCATCTTGTATGGGTTTATACGAGTATCCTCACTTACGTCTATTGTTCAATATGTATGGTCCATCTTTCGTTCAAATGAGACGGATTTGGATGAATACTAGTTTTTACTTGATCTACTGTCATCCCTATATTTCTGTGTCTGTGAATTAAGCATGAAAGAGAGATAGAGAGAGCGAGTCCAGAGTCAAGATTTGCTTGATTTTAAGAAAAGATTTGGGGGAATTAAATTTTAGGGATACTAATTTTGGAAATTAAAAATTTTGAGCGGCAAAAAGGCTTCAAGAGTTATTCTGGTATGTCGGATCAAAACGATCTGAGATGTCAATAATTCGAGACAGTTTGAAATAATATCGTCCATTGAATGATGTCTTTTTTAATCACGACACAATCTAGGCCACTCATTATCTCTAAAATTCAAAATCGTTCTACTTTATTATATAGATATTGCTTGTCACTTAGAAAGTGTCTTAGATTGTATTTTATTTATATTCAAATTGAAACAAAATTAAGATTGAATAACAAAATTTTAATGCTACAAGATGTTTTAAACGTTTTGAGGTATTTTGGTATGTTTCATGCATTGATTTAAAAATAATGTTTTTCTTTTTTTATTTTATTTCTTAAATATTTCAAAAAAATTCGATCTTGATTTAAAGAGACTTATTTGTTCATCGAATAGAGGCGCAACCGCGCAAGTTGATTCCACGCCAGGCTGAAGAAATGAGAAGGCTTGGTATGAAAATGGCGTAATTTAAGAAGGAAAAAAATAAAAAAGGATGAAAATGACGGAAAGTGAAAGAAAAGGACAAAAATAACAACTTTTTTAAGGCTTTTGGTTGGAGGGAATTCGTGGAAAACGTTTGTCTCAGAGGTTTTATCTTCGAGAGAAATATTATTGAGACCTAATTTATCGATTTAATTTATTTTGATTTTTAGATTGGCTATAGAGCCCATTAAATATTAAAAATTGTGTTGATCCAATAGTTCTATTAAAATCACATCATTATATTAACAAATTAAATCAAATTTTTAGGTCAAAATAATATTACTCCTCCACTAATATGCATGTAAGAGCATCCCGCTAGTATGCATCTAAGAGCATTTCCACTAGTTGAGTAAATATCAGGTATAGTGGTTATGTTACACTATTATCATTACGTGGTGTCATTATCTAATAATAAATTTACAAGTAATTCAGATGAATGACACTTGATAGTTATTTTTAAACACCGGATGGTTATTAAATAATATTGAGGGGTGGTTATTATAAGAAAAATACTATGTTTATCAAAAAAAATTATTAAATAATGTTAAAGGGTGGTTGCTATGAGAAAAATGCTATCCTCAGTATAATATTTTAAATCTATTTACTTACTTTTTTTATACTCTCATTTGATAGTGAAATCATTTGACGGTCACGATGATAAGGTGTATCCAATATTTACTAGTCAATGATGAAGCTTACGAAAACATTTGAACTTAAAGAGCAAGCAGCTCCGAAGCCTCCTGAAAACTTCGTGAAGCTTCGCTTTTGTTTATTTATTTCAATATATATTTCTCTCCTCTCCTCTCCTCTCCACTCCTCTCAAGTCTCATCTCATGGTTCAAAATATGCGATAAGGGAAGGCGTGATTGAGATCACAGGAGATTAAAGATGGTTGCACGAAGAATAAATAAAATGAGGAACAGGATGTCCATATACAGGGATGATCTTCCTCTTCTTCTGTATGCAACAGCAGCCACTAGGTAGTATCAGTATCTTCAACGTTCCACAACATGCATTTTTTTTTTCAGTGTATTCAATGGACATGGTTTGGAATTTGGTTCCGTTTTCATTTTTTTTTTCCATTAAATTCTTCAATTTTCATGTTTTGTCTAAACTTGACTCGACCCGATCAAAAGCCAAGTGGGTTTTAAGATTTTTTCATACATTTACTTGTATTTTCATTTCAGAATTCTATTGTGGGTACCTCTGTATGCGTCTCTCTGTCTAAACCAATTTTTTTTTCCATAAAAGATTATGGGAAAGAGAGAGAGGAGATGGACAGAGGAGGAGGGAGAGAGAGGGGAAAAAAAAGACACAAAACAATAATGAGTGGTTTTCATGAAACCGTTGCGGGTGTGTCTTTTCTGTCCTTTTCCTTGTTTGCCGCATTATTGTTCTACAAAATAATGGTATTGGATGTGGGACAAAAGACATTTTTTGGGTCATAAAGTTCATTCACAATGTACTTAATTTAAAAGCTTGAGTGACTTTTAATGTGTTGAATAAGCAAAGACCTTATAATTGCGGTGACTTTTAATTTACATAATAATGTAGTAAGCGATGAAGTTCTAATAAAATTTTTTAAAAATTATATTAATAGTAATACTATTTGATCATGTTAGTTCACATTATTAGATCTGTAAATTAAATCACTTTTTTAGATACTTATAACATTACTCTTTCTTAAAATTTGTAATTAATCTTTTGGATAAATTTTATTCACATCTCCGGTAGTTATGCATATATTCAACGACACACCTTACATCTTTTAAAATTTCATTGAATCCCTTTCTAGATTACACTGTAGAATTACTTTGGCATTTTGAAAGAATATCAAGTCAAATTGTAGCAGAGGTGGTGGTGGTAGGGCGGTGGTGGTGGTGAGGTTAGTTGTAGCGGTGGGCTGGCAGTGGTGATAGTAGTGGTGATGGTTGTATGGCAATGGGGTTGGTGATGGTAGAGGTGGTGGTGGGGCGATTCCAAATACTCCTTTTTTTTTGTTTAAATACTTATGAGAAGTTATAAATTATAGAAGCATTTTAAAAAAATTACCTCAAATACACCCTTAGAAGCCTATTTTCGTATTAAATTTAGGGTGCTAATATTAGCTATCGGATTAACTTTAAAATAAAATTTAAAGAAATCTTAACCATGAANTTCTGTATGCAACAGCAGCCACTAGGTAGTATCAGTATCTTCAACGTTCCACAACATGCATTTTTTTTTTCAGTGTATTCAATGGACATGGTTTGGAATTTGGTTCCGTTTTCATTTNATGGTGGTGGTGGTGGGGTGAAGATGGTGGTGGTGGGGTGAAGATGGTAGTGGAAATAGTGGTGATGGGGCAGTGGTTTTTGGGGCAAATGTGGTGGTGAGGTGACAACGGTGGTAGTGGTAGTGGTGGTGGTGGTGATAGTGATGGTAGTGGTGATGGTGGTGGGGGTGGTGGCGCCAACGAAAAATAAAATTTAAAGAGGTCTCAACTGCGAAAAATACGTTATTTTGTTTATCTTTTTAGATTTAAATTGTATTTGTACTTTCTTATATATATTATATAATAAAATATTATATATTGTATAGTATCTATTCATTATATATATATACACACACACTAAGTAGGTAATCTGTGAGAGATACACTTATATGTATATTATACGATAAGTGGAAAATATGTGAGATTTTCAAGGTTAATATAATAAAATAGCATTTTCTGTTACTTTCATCCGCCAACAAACTTTTNCACACACACACTAAGTAGGTAATCTGTGAGAGATACACTTATATGTATATTATATAATAAGTGGAAAATAAGTGAGATTTTCAAGGTTAATATAATAAAATAGCATTTTCTGTTACTTTCATCCGCCAACAAACTTTTATAAGGGGTGTCTGTAAAATTTCAGATAATGTAAGGATTGTGTTTAAAGATACGGTATTCTACCGGGGTGTTGATGAAGTTTCCCCTAATCTTTTTCTTTTACGTGCATGGTATATAGCGGAAGCCAGCAAACGGTCAAAACAGCTCCACCATGCCATAAGGTGTTCAAATATCTGGTGCCAATGCTGATTGCCCTCCTGGCCATCAAGTGCCAAGCCAAAGGTGTGGATCCCTTTGAAACTAGCCTTATTAATATGTGGTGTTGCTGTATAGCCATATGCATCTACTACCTTGCAATGGGAATAAGAAACCACATTCAAACCCGTACTATAAAATACTCGCGAATCTTAAATCATGTTATGCTCATCTTTGGAACTATTTCATCGGTTTCACTATTATCGGTTATCTTTCCGCACTTTCCCAGACAACTCATTTTGGTTGTACCGGCATTTTTGCCAATAATATTAGCTCAAAATAAGCTGAAGCATGGGTGGCACTGGCTCTACAACCAAGTTATCCATATTCTCGACGTTTGGAATTGGGTCCCCGAACGCAATGTCACAGAGCAAGAGCCAAATCTATCTCCACCAGTGCAGTAATCCTGCCCGATTTGAAGACGTTTAATTAGCATTAACACTCCTGAATTGTTCTGTTACTCGATCTAGAGAGATAAATATGCACTGATATGTGTCTTATTCGTCTTATTAGTATCTGAGTTTGTATTGGGCTTGATACAGCTGGGGCAACTGGTGAACAACTCACTAAAAGAAAGTTTGTGTTAATTTCTTGGTTAAATTATGTCTTACCACCTTGAACTGTTACCTTTGTTTTACTTTACACCTTTATTAATTATAAAATTTATCATATTGTACCATAAAGTATCAATATTATTTCATAGCACTCTAATAGATAATAACTATCAATTTTTTTATTGTAAATATGCATTAGAGTGGTCTGTAATACTAATAAATAATTGTCTATTGCACATGTGCATGTCAAATATTAAGAAAAATACATATTCATGACTTTACTTTTCCTAAACTTTAAATTTTCTTCCTCTAACCGACATTCATTTTCTTTTCAGTAATCATTTGGTTGTAAAATAGATAAAATAAAGTAGTTCTAGCCACTTAGTGGAAAATTCTTTGAGATTTTTCTCCCTCTTTTGACAAATTTTAAGTTTGTCGTTATCTATTAGACAACATGAGAAATTTTATTGTTAAGGGCGTAAAGTAAAACAAAGGCAATAATTCATAGTAATAAAGTGTAATTTATTCTAGTATCTATAATGTTTGTTAGTTTGTCCGGTTTGGATGCTTGTAAAAATTCTCCACTTAAATTGCTGGTGTTGGACTTTGGGTCGTACCAAAACTGGGTCACCCATCAATGTGCTAGACCAAAATAATTAGGAGCTATCCTAGTTGGATTCACCTTACTTACTTTGATTTAAATATTTATTGAGATTAAAAGATAATTATGGTTAAACTACAAATTTACTGTGATTAAAGATTAAAATGTAAGTCATATGATAAATCATCAGTATCAAAATGATAGCACACTTTGTTTAATTAAAGCATTTTCAATCCTGAGATTGAAATCTTTACTTAAATTTAAAATTGAGTAAAAATAAGTTAAAAAAAATCTCCGATCATTTACTCAAATTCATACTAGACGAAGACAATCAAATTTTTATTTAAATTGCAAGGGATTTAATTTTTTGATCAAATCAAGGAAAACTCAAATATTTACTATTTTTTTTAATGGCTATATTTTTTATCATCTTTTAAAAATCTAATAATTACATTTCACGCTAATTTAAATTTGAATTCTTCTTCATTTAAATTTGAGTTTGTTTGTATTTAAATTTGAATTTCTCCATTAAAATACTTNCAAATTTTCTTCCTCTAACCGACATTCATTTTATTTTCAGTAATTATTTGGTTGTAAAAGAGATAAAATAAAGTAGTTCTAGCCACTTAGTGGAAAATTCTCTGAGATTTTTCTCCCTCTTTTGACAAATTTTAAGTTTGTCGTTATCTATTAGACAACATGAGAAATTTTATTGTTAAGGGCGTAAAGTAAAACAAAGGCAATAATTCATAGTAATAAAGTGTAATTTATTCTAGTATCTATAATGTTTGTTAGTTTGTCCGGTTTGGATGCTTGTAAAAATTCTCCACTTAAATTGCTGGTGTTGGACTTTGGGTCGTACCAAAACTGGGTCACCCATCAATGTGCTAGACCAAAATAATTAGGAGCTATCCTAGTTGGATTCACCTTACTTACTTTGATTTAAATATTTATTGAGATTAAAAGATAATTATGGTTAAACTACAAATTTACTGTGATTAAAGATTAAAATGTAAGTCATATGATAAATCATCAGTATCAAAATGATAGCACACTTTGTTTAATTAAAGCATTTTCAATCCTGAGATTGAAATCTTTACTTAAATTTAAAATTGAGTAAAAATAAGTTAAAATAAATCTCCAATCATTTACTCAAATTCATACTAGACGAAGACAATCAAATTTTTATTTAAATTGCAAGGGATTTAATTTTTTGATCAAATCAAGGAAAACTCAAATATTTACTATTTTTTTTAATGGCTATATTTTTTATCATCTTTTAAAAATCTAATAATTACATTTCACGCTAATTTAAATTTGAATTCTTCTTCATTTAAATTTGAGTTTGTTTGTATTTAAATTTGAATTTCTCCATTAAAATACTTTATTTCAAATCAAAATTTTTACTTAAATATTAACCCAAATTTTTTTTTAAAAAAATTGAGTTAAAGACCGGAGATGACCTTATATAGTTGAGCAGCAAAGCTTCTGGTGGTTTTTTTATCTTTTCCTACTTAGCAAAGCTTTGTGTGATTTTTTTTTAACGGTCAGGGTGTCTAAACTAGTTTATGTTCATCTCCACTAATTCTCTCTTCAGTCTGGTTAAAAACAGGTTATCTATGTCGGAATTAGAGTATTCATGAAGGATAAATTATTCGTGATTTTATTCGAAAGGGTTGCTAAAAAACTTTGTTTTTGCGTTGATGTCCGGAGGACTGAATGGTTGACACGTGAGAGGACTTAGTTCATAGAGCTTTGACAATGTGTAAGGTCTTGAGGAAGGTAGAGAGAAAGATGAACGAAACAGAGATGTTGTTTCTGTATTTTCACCGAAAGGTAGGAAAATAAAAGCAACATGGACTGGTTTGTCACTTGGTATGGTGTTGATAACCAATGAATTTGTGATGAGATTGATTAATTTGAGTTGATTTGACCATGATCCTTTAAGAGATACTTGATTTGGACTGTCAGCTTGGGGAGAATTGTATACCAAACTGGAGAGCGAAGACTGAGAGACTGACCAGTGAGCGTAATTTGGAAACATAATACATTGTAATCGATGTATTTTTGCTACGCTCTAATAATTGGTTCATTTGAACTTGACGAGTCTCTACATATATTGAATATGAACCACCTATTCTAACATATTCATGTTAAAGAATACGAAACATAATTTTTTGTTCACCAAATACACAAATAATAATGTTTTTTGTATGATTGATGATTATAGCCTGCGAGGTGGCAGACACAAAAAATCCATAAACAACAGTGTTGGGCGAAATTTGTTTGAAGTATATAATATCAAACAATAATCTTGATCAAATTAATATTAACTTTTGTCCTACAATCGGGTTAGTTTATATGTTTGTTACTGTTCTGTAATTGCCCGTGTTAACAGATTGAAATTCTTAATTACTTATGATCATGATGATAATGACCACATCTATTACCAGAATCACGATCATAGGATATGACTAATTATCTAAGATTAATCTTTTTTAGGCCTAATGAATATAAACCACCCATTATTTCCGATATACATAAACTTGAAACTCGCATTTGAGACAAGGAGAGAATAATATCCAACAAAAGGATATAATTGTTTGCGATTTAACAACAAATATTAACCCCTGATGACAAGAAATGATTTAATTCATATATATTTTGTAGTTGTACTTCTTTTGTCGGATCCAAAAAATGAGGACTTAACCCAATACTATGATCTGACATGGTAAAAAATCACTTAATCCAATCAAAACGACCCATATACAGTCCGACAAGAATCCGGATGAAAGGATGTTGTAATCCTTTTCGGTGGGTAGGTAAGAAAACAATTTATTGATATCTTATTTTTATTTTTATAATTTAATAAAGATATAATATTTGAAAAAAATTATTTTACCATTTCAATAGATCAATAAATCATCCGAAAATCTAGGATTGTATTCGGATTGATAAGTATGATCCGTGAATCGAAAACTAGAATTATACTCTTTTTCTTTTGAATTATACCCATCATTGATGGGTCCTCCCATAAATTAAAAATCTAATTGACTCATATGTTAGTAAGATCACGTACATTATTCTTTAATTCTACACAAGTATTCATAAAATATTAATTAAATCAAGATACAAATAAGACAAGAAAAAAAAATCTCAAACTTCTATATACAACAACAGTCAAATAGATTTTTTTTAGTAAAATTATGTTATTTATGTTTGATATTAACAAAACATATTCGGTCTTTATCCGACTATAAATAAGGTTACTTTTGAATTTATGCAAAGTTATAATCAATCAGAATTCACTAATTTTGTGTTAAGGTAGAACTTTATTCATGCATTGGGGAAAATACCCCCAAAATAACATGACAAACCACTTAAATTTCTACTCTATGATGCTATTTTAACCCTCTTTTTTTGTGTCCCTTTACCTTTTCATCTTTTCTCCCCTCTCTCTCTCTCACCCCCCGACAACTTGGGTTTCCTTTGGGGATAGTGGCAAGTGATCTGCTGTCTTGCACTGCATTGTGACCCCGGACCTACAATGTTGGCCCTTTGTGTTCTCTCAAACTCACAGAAAAATCCAAGACTATGACTTCAATGTTTCATAGATTAAAAATACATATATCACTCCACATAATAGCAAAATAAGAAAAAAAATCCTCCTACTTTAAAGCTATTCATATTAATACCTGGTAAAAGATAATAAAAATCATACATTTATACAATTTCAGTTGAATGTATTTATCCAGGCAAATTCATGTTTGATATTAACCTAATTAATTTAATATTTATATTAATAGATCATGTTATTTTTAAATATAGTTCAAAAAATGATCAAATCTAGCCTATTAATTTGTTGAAAAAACTATATTGTGGTCTACACTTGTTTAAAAAATTGCGCAAAATAAAGAGGTCGTAGTCATTAATATGGCTCTATCCGAACAGCAATCTATTGTACGATTTGATCCATGAATGATGCGTGAAGCCAGCTGACGGATTCTTGGACACACATATTTGACTTGGTGGATCCTTGAAATGTCTTTAAACAAAACTTGACTTTTTAAAACTCGATCTTGGACGAATCTTTAGGAAGAGAGTTTATGGTACTAAATAGTACCATTTAATCAGATGAGTTTACAATTCAGTCACAACAAATTACTATTTTTTAAAGTTATATGAGACCATCCTAATGTATTATGACTATTTTTAAAGTTCTATAAAACAGATCAATTACTATTAAATAGTTACTTTTGTTTTATACTATACGAGTCGTAACTTACAATATTATCAAATTTAATATCATGACTTAATAACGTGTGCTAATTTATAGTCCAATAATATTATTATAACTATGATTACTGGGTAATATTCTTGAATTTTGTCAACTATTATATCATTAGATCAAGATATTATGTTAGATCTTTAGGGTACAATAAGATCTAAAAACTAGATATTCAGGTAGATATTTGTGGAAGGTAAAGTCTCCAAAATACAGAGTCAATAAATTATTTTTCATGTAGAAATCGCAATAGAAATTTCAAGTGTCATTTTCCATGTACTACGTACGTAGAGATTGTAAATAGAGATTGCAAGTGACATTTTTCAAGTAAGTATTGCAAGTGTCATTTTCCATGGACCATGTAGAGATTGCAATAGAGATTTGCAAGTGGAATTTTCCAAGTCGAGGTTGGAAGACAGATTGCACAAGACTACCCTACATATATTGTGTTTTAGAGGAGACTTGCAGGAACCTGAAACAGGTCGGGTGCAATTCAAAATGGAATATGACCATGAAATCACAAGTCATGACAATGGTAGAGAGAAGAAGAGATTTATGATTGTTCGGCGAAGAATGAACAAAAGGAGAATGATAATGTGCATAAGCAAGAATGATCTTCTTCCTCGCTATGCAAGCAGGTTAGTTAAATAATATATCGTTAAAAATAGTGGGTGATTCATATTCATTAGGTCTAAAAAGGCTTGAGCCACATAAATGACATTTGAAGATAGGCCAGTCGATCGCATCGGATGAAGTGAGATCGTGTTGGGTCTCAGCGGGTTCGTGTTAAAAAACACTACACTCATACCCGATTTGTTTATTAATTCATGTATAATGAATAATGTCATATTGGGTTCATGTCGTGTATAATTAGTTTAAATACGAGTCGTATCGTGTATTTTTTTTTTATTGGTTTCAGTCATCATCGATTCATTNTTTTTGGTATCATATCTCTGTTTATCATATTTGTGGATATTCTGATCACTATTGTGAGTATTTTTATCACTGTTATGGAATGTNATCCTAATGTATTATGACTATTTTTAAAGTTCTATAAAACAGATCAATTACTATTAAATAGTTACTTTTGTTTTATACTATACGAGTCGTAACTTACAATATTATCAAATTTAATATCATGACTTAATGACGTGTGCTAATTTATAGTCCAATAATATTATTATAACTATGATTACTGGGTAATATTCTTGAATTTTGTCAACTATTATATCATTAGATCAAGATATTATGTTAGATCTTTAGGGTACAATAAGATCTAAAAACTAGATATTCAGGTAGATATTTGTGGAAGGTAAAGTCTCCAAAATACAGAGTCAATAAATTATTTTTCATGTAGAAATCGCAATAGAAATTTCAAGTGTCATTTTCCATGTACTACGTACGTAGAGATTGTAAATAGAGATTGCAAGTGACATTTTTCAAGTAAGTATTGCAAGTGTCATTTTCCATGGACCATGTAGAGATTGCAATAGAGATTTGCAAGTGGAATTTTCCAAGTCGAGGTTGGAAGACAGATTGCACAAGACTACCCTACATATATTGTGTTTTAGAGGAGACTTGCAGGAACCTGAAACAGGTCGGGTGCAATTCAAAATGGAATATGACCATGAAATCACAAGTCATGACAATGGTAGAGAGAAGAAGAGATTTATGATTGTTCGGCGAAGAATGAACAAAAGGAGAATGATAATGTGCATAAGCAAGAATGATCTTCTTCCTCGCTATGCAAGCAGGTTAGTTAAATAATATATCGTTAAAAATAGTGGGTGATTCATATTCATTAGGTCTAAAAAGGCTTGAGCCACATAAATGACATTTGAAGATAGGCCAGTCGATCGCATCGGATGAAGTGAGATCGTGTTGGGTCTCAGCGGGTTCGTGTTAAAAAACACTACACTCATACCCGATTTGTTTATTAATTCATGTATAATGAATAATGTCATATTGGGTTCATGTCGTGTATAATTAGTTTAAATACGAGTCGTATCGTGTATTTTTTTTTTATTGGTTTCAGTCATCATCGATTCATTTATTAATCATGTCATGTCGGATCTACTCGTTTACAAAATGAGTAGTTTATTGAAGACCCAAACCTTACAATTTCGTGTTGTATTCGTATAACGGGTCATATTATATTTTTACACCTTTATTTAAACATATCAAAGCTATTACAAACAAACAAGTTATAATCCTCAGTCAGAGACAAAACACAGAGGTGACTACGACTGACATGAAAAATATTGGCACCTTAGTTTCTTAAATTTTGTGATCTAAAACAGTTTGATTTTCATTTTTCTGATAGTGGAAGCAAGCAAAAGTTCACATCATCATCTCCTCCATGCCATGTGGTCTTCAAGTATCTGGTGCCATTACTAGCTGCCCTGGTCACCATGCAGTATCAATCCAAAGGTAAGGATCCATTTGAAGCTCGGCCTATCAATATGTGGTGCTTCTGTATAGCCACATCCATCTACTGCCTCGCTATGGGAATAAGAAATCAAATTCAAACACCAAAATACTTGCAAATACTCTTAAGCCATGTTATTCTCGTAGCTGGAGTTCTTTCTTCGGTCTCACTAGGATCGGTTATCCTCCCACCACGCTTCCGTGGGCAGCTCATTATTTTTGCTGTATTGGTATTTTTACCAATAATATTGGCTCGAAATATACTCAAGCGTGGATATGTTTGGATCTACAATGGAGTAACCAATGTGGCTGCCCTCATCATCCCCAATGTCGTCATCGGATGGAACGTGACTGCAGAGCCAAATCCATCTCAACCGGCGTAATCAATGTTTGTGTTGCAGCAACAGCCTCATTACTGTGTTATATGTAATCTTTGATGTGTTTGATTCAAGTTAACACGCCTGGAATTGTTCTGTTACTTGCTTTTGAGCTAAATATTTTCATCTCATCTTCCTTAAAAAATAACTTCGTCTTGTTTTTTCATCAATAAAAATAATTTCATCGAATAAAAAATTAGTTTTCTTCAAGAGATATCCAAAAGCATCTCAAGTTATACTCAAGAGAGTTTCTTAGGATTCAAAACAAATTTAGTTTAGAAAAGAGCTAGATGACTACTTTTCTCAGATTTCAAGAGATTATGATACATTTACCTTCAATTTAATCATATACCAATAAAGATTGGGAGAATTACACTCAGACTCTCTGAAATTTGTCACTTAATCACTCAGATCTCTTGACATTTAAAATATTATAAACAGGCCTCCTGAGGTTTATACGAGTGTAACACTTAGACCCTTGTTGTAAATATATCTATTAATTAATTACACTTAGACCCCTTGAAATTTGTAGGTATATATAATACTTAGACCCTTTAAATTTAAAATATTATATTTAAACCAAAAATACTTTAATCAAATATAGAATATTAAATATTTTAAATTATGATTACGATTTTAAAATATTTTAAAATTTAATTTTTAGTTTGAATTTTATTTCAATAAATGATACAATAGAACATGAATTTTGATTGTAAATTTTAAAATATTTGATATTTTATCTTTTATTATAGTATTTTTTGTCTAAGTATAATATTTTAAACTTAAAGGGTATACTTACAAACTTCATGTGAGTCTAAGTATAATTTATTAATTGATATATTTACAAGAGGGCCTAAGTGTTAGGTGCGTACAAACCTCAAGAGGTCTATGTGTAATATTTTAAATGTCAAGGGGTTTGAGTGATAAAATGACAAATTTAAGGGGATCTAAGTGTAATTCTCCCATAAAAATTTACTAAAAAGTAATAAGATTTTCTTACACTGTTTGAGAGAGTGCGCCTAACTTTAATACTCCTAGAAAAGTTTAATCCTCCTAGAAAAGCTGTCTCAAGAAATGGTGATTACATATACCTATTTGATAATACCAAGGAATGTGCATATGTAATTCGTGCCCAAAAAGTAGGAATTCTCTATGATACCAAAAAAAAAATTTGGTATCATATCTCTGCTTATTATATTTGTGGATATTCTGATCACTATTGTGAGTATTTTTATCACTGTTATGGAATGTAAAAAAGTTTTAAAACACTCACAAATTTTACACTTCCGCTCTCTCTTTCGCTTCCACCTCTAGTCCCTTGCTATGTGACTCGTATTAGAGTATATGTTGTGTTGGTGTTAATAGATGACACACCTACGAGTATTATTTGGTAAATTTACAATTTCCACTGGATGTTGTATGCTTCCTTTCTTTTTACTTCGCCCTCTCTTTTCTTGATTGATAACATGTCAGGTTGTTTATTAAGAACAATCCTTTTAAATTTTTTCTTTTTGCCAAATTAAATATCTTTTTAGATTTTTTAAAACCAGTGAGTCAGGCTCTCTAGTTGGGCCGAATGAGTCGAATTTCGTGGACTGTGGTCCAAAGTCCTACCTGCTAATTATTGGACTGTCCATGGACCGTCACATGGGGAGAGCTGACTTAGGTTCATTGGAATTTCGGACCAGCCCGTGACTAACGAGTCGACAATTGTAATTATCAAGTTTAAAAACATTACTATTCTATAATAAATTTATAAGTAGGCAAGATGAACCTCACTCGCAGACTTGTAAGTTTATTATAAGAGAGTGACACTTGACATTATATTACGGTGATACCCAATATTTCGTCGTAAATGTGGGCATGTGTCGAGACTTACCATTTGTTCATAAGTAAAGAGGTTTAGAGTGTGTTTGAGATGACTTATGAAATCTTAAAAATATTTTTTAAATAAATTTTTATCAAAAGTGTTTACAAATAAAATTTTTTTATTAAATAAGTATTGTTTGGATACTCAAATTTTAAAATACTTAAATTAATGTATTTTATATAAAAACACGTTTAAATGTGAAAACACTTATTTGTATCACAACTGTTAATAGCATTGAATGTACCCATACAAACACATAGTACACATACAATGATACACCCAAAAAAAAAAAATCATACACAAAAATATCATATTAATAAAGGTATCCTATGAAAAAACTACATAGTCCAACTATCTCAATGACATACAAAAGTTGCAAAACACATGATAATAGTAAATACAATCAAAAATCATGCTTGATTGTCCCTTAAAATTGCTGAAGCACGTTCTCTCTTTCTATATATTGGATTTGTATCTAACAAATCAATATCCTCTTCAAAAATAGTTTAGTTTACATTGCCTTCCTCCTCTAACTCCATATCTTCATTAGCATATCTTGCAAATAAAATGTCTTTGACGCCGTGAAATCTTATGTAATTGTGACAAGCGGTAAAATTGAAAATCTTTTCTTTAATGCTCAAAACCATGGGCATACATATTTTCTTCTACAACATGGGCATGATATGAACAATGAAGAGTTGACATCCAGCTAACAAAGACACACTCACAGAAATACAAGTTCACAACCAAACACAATGTAAGAGTATATCACACACACACACAGAGAAAAACACCCTCTTCCTCTCCTACGCATCTCACTCACACAAACAAACAAACAAGGAGAGAATCACCCTCTCAGATTGTTATGTTCTGTATTTCTCTTGTTTTATGGTGTCGTTGATAACATATACCATTGCCAAGTCCAGTCTTATGGCACAATTTCAACAGATGAATTGGAAAGGCAAGGGTTTTCAAAGAAAGTGTCCATTGTCCTTGCTTGCTGTCCTACATGGTTGTCCTTACATTCATCTCTTAGTTGGCTTGGCCATCTTGTCTTGATGATTCCTACCTTTTTCAATACCCAGTCAAAAAGTAAATTATGTGAACTTATATTCTTTCTATTTTTTATGCATGAGACCCACAAATAGACAGCAAAATAAAATATACAATCTCAAAACAAATGAATTTGTGTAGTTTGATTCGAAAGTCCATGTCCACTAACAACCCTCAAAGACAGTCTTAGCCTCAGATATAGAATTACAAAGAGTTCTCTCAATTGATTTAAAATATATCCAGATTTATAATTTTAGCAGAATCTAGATATCATTGTGTCCTAAAAGAAACAAGTATTTAAATCCAAAAAATAACAAACTTTCAAACCACGATCAATCTCCTATTCAAGTCTGATGAATTGGAGAAAAATTTTCAATTAACACATTTAAAACCTAAATCACAAAATCACAACAGTTTAGCATCTCAACAGTGCATCCTACATCTACAGCTAAATAGCAAGAGCTTCACCTCCATCATCTCGAATTCGATAGCTAGTTAAACCCACCAAAATGAAGTCAACAAAACCCTCAAACAATGTCCAAGAAAACACCAGAATACATGCATTAAAGCCCTAGAAAACTAGCTGACACAACACTGAACGATTGAAAACATCCACACATGATGGAAATTGCTTACTGTTGGCCTTAGAAAAACAGATCGAACATGATGAGGTACTGTGCTTTTGTTCGATTGATAGTCATTTTATCAAACAGTTGGTGCGCATTCTATCAAACTGTCCAATTTTGCTAAAGATTAAATGTGAGAAAGAGTGATGAATTATGGAAGTAAAATAATATAGTGATTTTCATAGTAATCATGGATCAAAAAAAATAAAAAAACAGTTTTCCCAAATACATCAAAAATTGATACCATAGACAGCTCCTTGATCTCCAGAAATTTTATCATCAAAAAATAAAAAAAATTACAAATCAAAATACATTATCCAACAACAAAGAAGATATTGTACTTCGCTTGAAGGGATTTGGTTAAATCAACATGCAACAAAGATCGGTGAGAGATAAGACGGTTTCGGCGTCGTTGGTAGTTGGCGAGAGAAAAGGTAGTGTCATTGGTCGACGAGACGAGAGAATATATTGCCGCGCTGGCGTCGACGTCGAGAAAGAAAACGGCTACATGAATATCGGGGACTTGCATAGAGATATCAGGGGAGTGAGGAGAAAATGCGAAGTAAAAATAAAAAGTGATTTTTAAAAGTAAAAGTTAATTATTTTTATTNAGATTGCACAAGACTACCCTACATATATTGTGTTTTAGAGGAGACTTGCAGGAACCTGAAACAGGTCGGGTGCAATTCAAAATGGAATATGACCATGAAATCACAAGTCATGACAATGGTAGAGAGAAGAAGAGATTTATGATTGTTCGGCGAAGAATGAACAAAAGGAGAATGATAATGTGCATAAGCAAGAATGATCTTCTTCCTCGCTATNAACTAACGAGTCGACAATTGTAATTATCAAGTTTAAAAACATTACTATTCTATAATAAATTTATAAGTAGACAAGATGAACCTCACTCACAGACTTGTAGGTTTATTATAAGAGAGTGACACTTGACGTTATATTACGGTTATACCCAATATTTTGTCGTAAATGTGGGCATGTGTCGAGACTTACCATTTGTTCATAAGTAAAGAGGATTAGAGTGTGTTTGAGATGACTTATGAAATCTAAAAAATATTTTTTAAATAAATTTTTATCAAAAGTGTTTATAAATAAAATTTTTTTATTAAATAAGTATTGTTTGGATACTCAAATTTTAAAATACTTAAATTAATATATTTTATATAAAAACACGTTTAAACGTGAAAACACTTATTTGTATCACAACTGTTAATAGCATTGAATGTACCCATACAAACACATATAATGATACACCCAAAAAAAAAAAAATCAAACACAAAAATATCATATTAATAAAGGTATCATATGAAAAACTACATAGTTCAACTATCTCAATAACATAAAAAAGTTGCAAAACACATGATAATAGTACATACAATCAAAAATCATGCTTGATTGTCCCTTAAAATTGCTGAAGCAATACGTTCTCTCTTTCTATATATTGGATTTGTATCTAACAAATCAATATCCTCTTCAAANTATATCGTTAAAAATAGTGGGTGATTCATATTCATTAGGTCTAAAAAGGCTTGAGCCACATAAATGACATTTGAAGATAGGCCAGTCGATCGCATCGGATGAAGTGAGATCGTGTTGGGTCTCAGCGGGTTCGTGTTAAAAAACACTACACTCATACCCGATTTGTTTATTAATTCATGTATAATGAATAATGTCATATTGGGTTCATGTCGTGTATAATTAGTTTAAATACGAGTCGTATCGTGTATTTTTTTTTTATTGGTTTCAGTCATCATCGATTCATTTATTAATCATGTCATGTCGGATCTACTCGTTTACAAAATGAGTAGTTTATTGAAGACCCAAACCTTACAATTTCGTGTTGTATTCGTATAACGGGTCATATTATATTTTTACACCTTTATTTAAACATATCAAAGCTATTACAAACAAACAAGTTATAATCCTCAGTCAGAGACAAAACACAGAGGTGACTACGACTGACATGAAAAATATTGGCACCTTAGTTTCTTAAATTTTGTGATCTAAAACAGTTTGATTTTCATTTTTCTGATAGTGGAAGCAAGCAAAAGTTCACATCATCATCTCCTCCATGCCATGTGGTCTTCAAGTATCTGGTGCCATTACTAGCTGCCCTGGTCACCATGCAGTATCAATCCAAAGGTAAGGATCCATTTGAAGCTCGGCCTATCAATATGTGGTGCTTCTGTATAGCCACATCCATCTACTGCCTCGCTATGGGAATAAGAAATCAAATTCAAACACCAAAATACTTGCAAATACTCTTAAGCCATGTTATTCTCGTAGCTGGAGTTCTTTCTTCGGTCTCACTAGGATCGGTTATCCTCCCACCACGCTTCCGTGGGCAGCTCATTATTTTTGCTGTATTGGTATTTTTACCAATAATATTGGCTCGAAATATACTCAAGCGTGGATATGTTTGGATCTACAATGGAGTAACCAATGTGGCTGCCCTCATCATCCCCAATGTCGTCATCGGATGGAACGTGACTGCAGAGCCAAATCCATCTCAACCGGCGTAATCAATGTTTGTGTTGCAGCAACAGCCTCATTACTGTGTTATATGTAATCTTTGATGTGTTTGATTCAAGTTAACACGCCTGGAATTGTTCTGTTACTTGCTTTTGAGCTAAATATTTTCATCTCATCTTCCTTAAAAAATAACTTCGTCTTGTTTTTTCATCAATAAAAATAATTTCATCGAATAAAAAATTAGTTTTCTTCAAGAGATATCCAAAAGCATCTCAAGTTATACTCAAGAGAGTTTCTTAGGATTCAAAACAAATTTAGTTTAGAAAAGAGCTAGATGACTACTTTTCTCAGATTTCAAGAGATTATGATACATTTACCTTCAATTTAATCATATACCAATAAAGATTGGGAGAATTACACTTAGACTCTCTGAAATTTGTTACTTAATCACTCAGATCTCTTGACATTTAAAATATTATAAACAGGCCTCCTGAGGTTTATACGAGTGTAACACTTAGACCCTTGTTGTAAATATATCTATTAATTAATTACACTTAGACCCCTTGAAATTTGTAGGTATATATAATACTTAGACCCTTTAAATTTAAAATATTATATTTAAACCAAAAATACTTTAATCAAATATAGAATATTAAATATTTTAAATTATGATTACGATTTTAAAATATTTTAAAATTTAATTTTTAGTTTGAATTTTATTTCAATAAATGATACAATAGAACATGAATTTTGATTGTAAATTTTAAAATATTTGATATTTTATCTTTTATTATAGTATTTTTTATCTAAGTATAATATTTTAAACTTAAAGGGTATACTTACAAACTTCATGTGAGTCTAAGTATAATTTATTAATTGATATATTTACAAGAGGGTCTAAGTGTTAGGTGCGTACAAACCTCAAGAGGTCTATGTGTAATATTTTAAATGTCAAGAGGTTTGAGTGATAAAATGACAAATTTAAGGGGATCTAAGTGTAATTCTCCCATAAAAATTTACTAAAAAGTAATAAGATTTTCTTACACTGTTTGAGAGAGTGCGCCTAACTTTAATACTCCTAGAAAAGTTTAATCCTCCTAGAAAAGCTGTCTCAAGAAATGGTGATTACATATACCTATTTGATAATACCAAGGAATGTGCATATGTAATTCGTGCCCAAAAAGTAGGAATTCTCTATGATACCAAAAAAAAAATTTGGTATCATATCTCTGCTTATTATATTTGTGGATATTCTGATCACTATTGTGAGTATTTTTATCACTGTTATGGAATGTAAAAAAGTTTTAAAACACTCACAAATTTTACACTTCCGCTCTCTCTTTCGCTTCCACCTCTAGTCCCTTGCTATGTGACTCGTATTAGAGTATATGTTGTGTTGGTGTTAATAGATGACACACCTACGAGTATTATTTGGTAAATTTACAATTTCCACTGGATGTTGTATGCTTCCTTTCTTTTTACTTCGCCCTCTCTTTTCTTGATTCATAACATGTCAGGTTGTTTATTAAGAACAATCCTTTTAAATTTTTTCTTTTTGCCAAATTAAATATCTTTTTAGATTTTTTAAAACCAGTGAGTCAGGCTCTCTAGTTGGGCCGAATGAGTCGAATTTCGTGGACTGTGGTCCAAAGTCCTACCTGCTAATTATTGGACTGTCCATGGACCGTCACATGGGGAGAGCTGACTTAGGTTCATTGGAATTTCGGACCAGCCCGTAACTAACGAGTCGACAATTGTAATTATCAAGTTTAAAAACATTACTATTCTATAATAAATTTATAAGTAGACAAGATGAACCTCACTCACAGACTTGTAGGTTTATTATAAGAGAGTGACACTTGACGTTATATTACGGTTATACCCAATATTTTGTCGTAAATGTGGGCATGTGTCGAGACTTACCATTTGTTCATAAGTAAAGAGGATTAGAGTGTGTTTGAGATGACTTATGAAATCTAAAAAATATTTTTTAAATAAATTTTTATCAAAAGTGTTTATAAATAAAATTTTTTTATTAAATAAGTATTGTTTGGATACTCAAATTTTAAAATACTTAAATTAATATATTTTATATAAAAACACGTTTAAACGTGAAAACACTTATTTGTATCACAACTGTTAATAGCATTGAATGTACCCATACAAACACATATAATGATACACCCAAAAAAAAAAAAATCAAACACAAAAATATCATATTAATAAAGGTATCATATGAAAAACTACATAGTTCAACTATCTCAATAACATAAAAAAGTTGCAAAACACATGATAATAGTACATACAATCAAAAATCATGCTTGATTGTCCCTTAAAATTGCTGAAGCAATACGTTCTCTCTTTCTATATATTGGATTTGTATCTAACAAATCAATATCCTCTTCAAAAATAGTTTAGTTTACATTGCCTTCCTCCTCTAACTCCATATCTTCATTAGCATATCTTGCAAATAAAATGTCTTTGACGCCGTGAAGTCTTATGTAATTGTGACAAGCTGTAAAATTGAAAATCTTTTCTTTAATGCTCAAAAACATGGGCATACATATTTTCTTCTACAACATGGGCATGATATGAACAATGAAGAGTTGACATCGAGCTAACAAAGACACACTCACAGAAATACAAGTTCACAACCAAACACAATGTAAGAGTATATCACACACACACAGAGAGAAAAACACCCTCTTCCTCTCCTACGCATCTCACTCACACAAACAAACAAACAAGGAGAGAATCACCCTCTCAGATTGTTATGTTCTGTATTTCTCTTGTTTTATGGTGTCGNGACTAACGAGTCGACAATTGTAATTATCAAGTTTAAAAACATTACTATTCTATAATAAATTTATAAGTAGGCAAGATGAACCTCACTCGCAGACTTGTAAGTTTATTATAAGAGAGTGACACTTGACATTATATTACGGTGATACCCAATATTTCGTCGTAAATGTGGGCATGTGTCGAGACTTACCATTTGTTCATAAGTAAAGAGGTTTAGAGTGTGTTTGAGATGACTTATGAAATCTTAAAAATATTTTTTAAATAAATTTTTATCAAAAGTGTTTACAAATAAAATTTTTTTATTAAATAAGTATTGTTTGGATACTCAAATTTTAAAATACTTAAATTAATGTATTTTATATAAAAACACGTTTAAATGTGAAAACACTTATTTGTATCACAACTGTTAATAGCATTGAATGTACCCATACAAACACATAGTACACATACAATGATACACCCAAAAAAAAAAAATNAAATTGTTCTGTTACTTGCTTTTGAGCTAAATATTTTCATCTCATCTTCCTTAAAAAATAACTTCGTCTTGTTCTTTCATCAATAAAAATAATTTCATCGAATAAAAAATTAGTTTTCTTCAAGAGATATCNGAATTGTTCTGTTACTTGCTTTTGAGCTAAATATTTTCATCTCATCTTCCTTAAAAAATAACTTCGTCTTGTTTTTTCATCAATAAAAATAATTTCATCGAATAAAAAATTAGTTTTCTTCAAGAGATATCCAAAAGCATCTCAAGTTATACTCAAGAGAGTTTCTTAGGATTCAAAACAAATTTAGTTTAGAAAAGAGCTAGATGNAATTGGGAGAATTACACTCAGACTCTCTGAAATTTGTCACTTAATCACTCAGATCTCTTGACATTTAAAATATTATAAACAGGCCTCCTGAGGTTNACTACATAGTCCAACTATCTCAATGACATACAAAAGTTGCAAAACACATGATAATAGTAAATACAATCAAAAATCATGCTTGATTGTCCCTTAAAATTGCTGAAGCACGTTCTCTCTTTCTATATATTGGATTTGTATCTAACAAATCAATATCCTCTTCAAAAATAGTTTAGTTTACATTGNGATTGGGAGAATTACACTTAGACTCTCTGAAATTTGTTACTTAATCACTCAGATCTCTTGACATTTAAAATATTATAAACAGGCCTCCTGAGGTTTATACGAGTGTAACACTTAGACCCTTGTTGTAAATATATCTATTAATTAATTACACTTAGACCCCTTGAAATNCCTTTGACGCCGTGAAATCTTATGTAATTGTGACAAGCGGTAAAATTGAAAATCTTTTCTTTAATGCTCAAAACCATGGGCATACATATTTTCTTCTACAACATGGGCATGATATGAACAATGAAGAGTTGACATCCAGCTAACAAAGACACACTCACAGAAATACAAGTTCACAACCAAACACAATGTAAGAGTATATCACACACACACACAGAGAAAAACACCCTCTTCCTCTCCTACGCATCTCACTCACACAAACAAACAAACAANATTTGTAGGTATATATAATACTTAGACCCTTTAAATTTAAAATATTATATTTAAACCAAAAATACTTTAATCAAATATAGAATATTAAATATTTTAAATTATGATTACGATTTTAAAATATTTTAAAATTTAATTTTTAGTTTGAATTTTATTTCAATAAATGATACAATAGAACATGAATTTTGATTNGTTTGTAGGTATATATAATACTTAGACCCTTTAAGTTTAAAATATTATATTTAAACCAAAAATACTTTAATCAAATATAGAATATCAAATATTTTAAATTATGATTACGATTTTAAAATATTTTAAAATTGAATTTTTAGTTTGAATTTTATTTCAATAAATGATACAATAGAACATGAATTTTGATTGTAAATTTTAAAATATTTGATATTTTATCTTTTATTATAGTATTTTTTATCTAAGTATAATATTTTAAACTTAAAGGGTATACTTACAAACTTCATGTGAGTCTAAGTATAATTTATTAATTGATATATTTACAAGAGGGTCTAAGTGTTAGGTGCGTACAAACCTCAAGAGGTCTATGTGTAATATTTTAAATGTCAAGAGGTTTGAGTGATAAAATGACAAATTTAAGGGGATCTAAGTGTAATTCTCCCATAAAANCCTAAGTGTTAGGTGCGTACAAACCTCAAGAGGTCTATGTGTAATATTTTAAATGTCAAGGGGTTTGAGTGATAAAATGA